TTTGATAGACTTCTATATAAATAATTTTGTAATAACGTTTTCAATTTTATTTTATTATTTAAATAGAGTGATCTAATTTTGTCTTTTGTCTTTTCGTCTTTGGTTTTTGCAAGTTATAAAATATTCAAGAATAAAAATAGTTCAAATACAAATATGAGAAATAATTCATCAACATTTTCAAAAGTAGATATTTGAATAGTAAAATAAGATTAAAAGTAATAGGACTAAAAAAAACTAATAATTTTAAAAGATGTGATAAAATTTAATTGTAAATGAAATAACAAAAACATAAAAAATAATAAATAAATGATATTCTTCTCGATCAATGGTTTTGCAGTAACATTCTTACTTTTATTTTATTTATGTTAGCGGGTAATCTATTTTTTTTTATCACAATTAAATATTTTATTTTCTATAGATTTATAAAAGATTAAATCACAAACCCGCATGTTTATTATACGTTTATTAATAGGTGATCTATTTCCTTCATCTAGTTTATTATACGTTTCAATGCACGAATTCAGTATACTAAATTCTTATCTTTTCGACGTCTTTGAATTCTAAACTGAACCAATCTTCCGGATATATAATATCATTTTAACTGATTTTTTATAATCCATTCTAAAAATGAGCCCAATGTAACTCTAGGTGTAAATCCCATAAACCTTTTAACCCAAGCAATCTATATAGTTTTGTTTCAGAATTGTAACATTCAACCTATACCACTTGTTTTAATGTTTGAAGACCAAGTTTTGTCAAAACCTAAATGAAAAATATAGGCCCAGTGAGTATATCACTATTTGAGGAAGATTCAATGGTGCGTAGACAGTGACTACTATGTGAATTTGTTTCAAACCAAACTTCACACATTTAGTATTTGATCAAATCGAACAAACAATCCAGAAGACGGAAACAAAGAGTAAAATATACAAGTGAATACTTGAATCTCCAAAATTGTTGCCTAACCGTTGAAGCCATCGTTTTATACATGGTCCAGTTAGTTTGGTTTTGCTCTCTCCATGGTGCATATGAAAGCCAGGGACATGATTATCTTTAAATTCGTAATGCTCACACACAAATAAGCTCAAATAAAATTTCTAAGGTTTAAAAATTCTACCTTCAAAATCTATAGAATTTTTTTGGGTTGAGACGACTATACATGACTAGTAACAGGATAAGAGATTGGGTAAACTGTAAGAGGTTAGATCATATTGTATCATTTATTTTATTCGTTTACATCATTTTTTTATTGACACAATTGAAATTATATAATTTGTATGAATGATTTTAAAAATGATGACTCTAATATTTTGTATCATTAAAAAAGACCGACGCAAATATTATCATTATTTATATAATTGATGTTAATATGTGTCACTTATTAAAAATGAAGTTAAAATTTACATCAGTTTGTATAAATGATATCAAATATTTCCAATAGTATTATATTAGTATACCTCATTTGCTGCTTCTTGTACATAGGAGAAGGATAT